TTACATCCGCTCGTCTCTCATGGGACAGTTCTAGGGTTCTTTTGTACTTCTGGGTGAAGAATTCGGCATAATGGAATCTGACCTGAACATCGACAGAACACATCATGATAAGTGCATGATGATGAATTAAATTATGCCTAATGATATCAAGCATATGTGTACATTCACTCACCTCTTTTTGGCAGGCTGTGGCCACCATGTTTTCTTGGCAGGGTCTTTTAATCGGGCCAAGCTAACCAAATAGTTTGCTGTCTGTCAAAATTTCATTTGGAAATTGACAAATTATCTTCAGTCTGACTGAAAATTATATCTTTGAACTAGGTTATAGAGAGGAAATGGGAAACACTTTACTGTAGATTGCAGAATAGCTCTGTGTGTTGGTTATTCCATGTATGATGTTGATCTTAAGAGTAATTATGTTGGTCTATTTTTGATGAGGAAGGAAGTGCTATCTAAACAAGACAAAAATAAATTTCAAATTATACTTTCCATGAATGACCAGTGTAGAATATATAGCCTATGATGGTGTACTCGGCTAGCATGTAGACTGTGTAGGCTTGTAAGAGCTTCATATCTCCCTCTGATAAACTGGCAGATCAATTGAATCTTGATTCCTGCTCATCATAACTGAGAGACGAGGAGGGCAGGATGGCCCTAGGGCATTCCAAGTCATTACAGTAGTCGTTAGACTCATCGATTTACAGTCAACAGCATAGGCAATTTCACTGCATGACACCTTGGACTAGCCTACAGTATATATGGCCTGGTTGGTTGGGCTGTGTGAATGCTACCCCTGGAAACTCTGTAATTATAGGCTTTGCGCTGGTGCGTGGCCGAAGATTGCATGCCTTGGTATCTAAGTTAAGATGATTTTCATATCTACTTGTAGAAGTCATCTATCATTTATCTATGCTTGATGTTAAAGGGAAGAAAGTAGAAATGTTTGTTGACCTTGTGGCATCTAGAAAAACAGCCTGTAGTTGGCTTGAGTGTTGCTTCTCCAGTTCTGTTTGTAGACATTTGTGCTTTTTACAGAAGTTCTTGTAACAAGTTATGTTGATGAAAGTCCTGATTGTATTGTCTACTGAGAGCTAGAAAGGCGTGATAACTCTGTAAAGTGTGAAAGAAGCATATAAATTTAATAAAATCTTGCTTTCAGCAGAAGATATGATTCTGATTTGTCAAAATCTAATTTTCATTCGATTTTGAATTTGATTTTGTTGGGGTTGCAATTAACCTTAATGACAAGAGGCCCTACACATAATTTTAGAATCCAAATCCCGTACCTTCCAATCAATGATCGACCATGCACTTCCTAATTACGAATTGCCCCCTATTTCAAAGCATTTTTTTTTATAATAGTTTGATTTTAGAGTTAATTTTAATATAAGGCAGTGTTTTTGGATACATATATTTTTGGATATGGTGGGGAAGCAGGGTAAGACAAAGGGTAAGACAAAGGTCCTCATGGTAGTATGTGGAAGGGAGAGATACAGGTTTTATATTTTGAGGATGTGATTGATGACACACCAAGTCTCACGCTGTGACATGAATGAGCTGGGAATCTCCCCACCTAGCTCACCCTATATCATGGGATAAGAAATGATTTATTGCATGACTCACCAGTCAGAAATGCACAACCATGGGTTCTCCCAAGATCATAACATGGGCGACCTTAAAGGGAATGTGCATGGTGCCTTGGGAAATCATGACTGAATTGACCAGTGTACAAAATACACATTAAAAGCGATACTAAATTGGTCAATTCAATAGATTGTTATATGCTTTGAACTGTCGTTTATTGTTGGATTGTACATAGATGACATGAAAATAGCTCAAAAATACCATTATGATGAATGTTTTATAATTTATGATAACTCAAATATTTTGATTACTTTACATACACTGTATTTTATCATCTGATCTATACTTTAATTTCAAAATTTATTATATTTTTTTTTAATTGTTCCCTATGAAACAGATCAATGATTAGAAAGTCCCCCCCCCCCCTAAAAAAGGAAAATTGTCTACCGGTAATCATAAATTGTCCACTTGTAGTTGTAACTCCTACTACCCTGTAAAAAGATAATTCATTACAATCATCGACTCTGGCTGGGAGATCAGTTTTCAATTAACCTTCAACGAGCAGAGCAATTTTCACTTGTAGATCGTGTAAACTGCATGTCCTGGTAATTCAATTGGAATGCCTAAATTCTGTGGTAATCTGTCATTGATCCACCTCCTCGTCCTGCATCCATGATCCAATTAAGCAAACTTCATCCTTTCTACTTTCCTCAGCCACATCTCCTCCAACATGAACCAATCTTGACAGTTTAATATTTCCCTCCACCCTCCCCCCACGGCACGGCTCTTAATTTCATTAACCGGGGCTGTCAGAGCGTGTAAGACGCTCCAGCTCTAGCGTGATGCACTTTCCAGGCGCTTGGGTTTGTGTTTCGGCGGTGTAGATGTGTGTGGCTGCGCACACGTCAAACCACAATCGTGTCACCCTCGATCAGTCGAAGCTGATAATGCAGTTACCAGGCCAGATATTCAATCTGTCCCAACCAACATCATTCACTGCTCCAAGGAATTGGAAAACATACTGCCATCTATTTTGTTGACATATGGTCATTTGACATTATCATAATATTAATCATACCTGTCGCACTTGTGAAGTCCTTAAAAAAACTAGTTCATATTTTAAAGTTCAGTTCAGTAAACATTTTTATAACACTTACAGGTATAGGAACGCTTGAAATAATGGCATTATCGATTTCCACAAATTGCATAAACAATGTATTATATGGAGGAATTTAACTCTGAGAGCTAGAAGTGCATTGAATATAACATTTGAAAGGATATGAGTTCCTGCCTATCCGGGTTTCAAACAGATGAATTACTCAGTGTACCAGTATTAACAGGAGCTAACATATTTGTGCCGTGTACATGTATATCCTTTTCATGTTTTGATCTAGAGCAGATTCTATTTCATCATCTTGGCTATTACATGTCATATGGACTTCACAAAATGAAATGCAAATGGCCTGCAGCTTAGACTAATTTGAAATGATGCCATGCCCCTACACCCATCATCAAAGCGTCATATTTCTATTTTGATTACTTGACTTTCCTGGCTCCGTTCATACTTTCCCTCTCGTATTTCATATTTCAACGGTTATTGCTTTCAGTCTGGATGGCTATACATAGCCTTACTTCCCACTCCATGTTTTATTCCTGTCTTTGGTTATGTGTAGGCCTAGTTTATTGTATATTTATGAGTTTCCCATTACATGTCCATCATCTTTCTCTGTTGCTTTAAGTTTGTATTTCAGCCCCACCACCTTGTCTTTTCCCATATTTTCTTTTCCTCTACACTCTGTCACTTTCTCTACCCCATTCAAGCTTGTATAGTAGTTGGGTTCACACTATAATCCATACGTTTAGATCATCCATGCAGACACATTTATGGTTATGAAACTGTAAGTTTACTCAAAATTATAAACCACAACTACAAGCCGGAGGGCATCCTCACTCAAAATCATGTGCCATGCGGAGGACAAAATAACTTATAGGTTATATGCATGCTTGTAATTACAATGATTGCGGGCCGGGCTTGTAGTTTAAAATGTTTGATACTACATTTATTTTGTTTGCTCCCATGCGAGCCCTCATCGTTGTTAGCGGATCGTTGTTTAATTATTGTTACGCAAAATTCAAGTTTGAAAGTATGACTCTTTCGTGTGAACATACCTAGTATAGTTAGTGTGGGTATCTCTTCTTCTCTGACAACATGAGCTTACACTTAGGCGATGAGAGAGTGGCATCCCCTCAAGAATGGCTACCATCTGATGCGGTTGGACTGGAAACTGGTATGGTGTCAAAAATGTACCAACGTGACATCCTGCCTGATAGACTGTAAATAGGCTTCTGATCCAGGTCCAAGCTCACAAGGACTGGAACATACAGCTTTTCATGTTCCTAAATTGAAAAGATTATATTTATCCAGAAAAAATTATATTGCTCAGGTTTTCTCATGACATGTAAACATTCATATTATCTCAACACATATATATGCCACTGGAAGGTCCAGCTTCAAACGGATGAGTACTGAAACGCAATTATAAGCCATATTCCTAAATTTCAAATTTTAATATCTATCCATGAAAAAATAACAATACCCAGCTGTTTGTTTGAGTACATGTCAACTTTCATGTTGTTTAGTTTGTTTGTTGGAGTACCATGCAAATATTGCAAAGGCACATCTTGTAAAGGCTAATTGCAGAAACCTTGGTACACCTACATAACGACCATGTTAACCTCCAGAATAATTTCCAAAACCATTTCCAGATGCACCCATGAAAGGGAGGCATTTATGTTTCATTGAGTGTGTTAATCAAGTACACCAATCAAATCAATCATCTGTGAATTGTACACATTACTTGTAACATTTGTGGTTGGGAATACTGTTCCCACCATTTCATCTTCAAGGTTGGAACTTTAGCATGCTATTTGAATTTGAATTCAGGTAGTGCGTGGTTACTGAAATAAAGCACCCCAGTTCCTTTCTTTAGCTTCAAATCGGTGTTACCTTGGGTTCTCATGGGGAATTAGACCACATTTAGGTATTTCCTTGAATCCTGATAATTGATGTTATCAATGACTGAGAGTGGGCTTCACTCTTTATGTGTAATGTGCACAATCTCCACCAACTTCAGGCAAATCAACTCGTAAGGATAATTCATGATCATAAATTCCTCACCGAAACCAAAATTGAACATTGTCAGAAAAGAATACTTTCATACTGATTCCTATTAATGATACTTGAGTTTTGCTGGAAGATTTGTATGCTCATTAATTGGTAATTCCACCAAGTCTGCTGTTAATTAATCAAACTGTAAAGTGGAATGCATTATACTTGGTATTACTTGTAAGATTACATCTTTGAACTTGTAGACTTGTCATTTATTGATCCTTTCCTTTTTTTATGTTTTGTTCAGGTCACCTTAGGTCATGAGATCGGAGCTGGAGCACCATGCCTCAAGTGTGGAGATGCCTGTACAGGACTTGACCTTCACTTCTGGAGGTAAGCAATGGTCACCATCTTAAAACATTTAAAGCCTCTCTGCACTAGTTTGGCCAGGGGGAATTAGACCTCCCTGCAAGGTCACTGACAGGTGGTTATCTCATCAAATCAGCTCTCAATTAACATAAGAAAAAGGGGATCATGGGAGACCAAGATTAGGCATTGTTTGCTATATAGAGGGCGTAAGTAGCTATAAGTAGTGCAGTGGGGCTTTAAATGATGTATCCACCAAAAGCCAAAAAAACATTATCTTACTGCATTCAGTGCCTTTCCTCAGTAAGTTTGTAATGACAAAATAATATCTAATATACGGTGGCACTAAAAACAAAAGTTACAATAGTGCTTTTTAAAAAAGTCACAGAATATGAAGAGAGACAGAAGGGACATCTACATAAGTACATCACAATATTTACTGAGGGAAGAAGTATGTTTGAAGAGATCTTTTGAAATTTGTAAGACCATTTATTATTTCTCTGATGGAAACTTGGAAAGTGGATCTCCTGAGTGAATGAAAATCCTACAAATGCTATGTAAAAATGCAAGAAACAAAACTAATAACATTTACAGCTATAATAGGCAGAAGGTTATTTGTTGAGAGCCAGTTCAAAAAATTATGAAAGAGGTAATACTAATAGTGTCACACTTGTCATCTGTAGCCAGGATGCAGCAAGATATTACAATCCACTCCATTTCTGAGATAGACGCACATAGGATACAATTGCCCCTGATAGTACCGGTACTCATTTTCAATTTACCTGTTGTCACTAGATGTGTTCCCCTCATGCAGTCATCAGTGACCTTGATTGATGTTGACTGTCAGTGTTGTAATGATAAACTATGAAAAAAAAAAAATCATAAAGACATATTAGTAATGTGTAAAAAAGTGTAAAGATGTTCATTTGCAACTTTTTCAGGAAAATTTGCAAAGTATGCAAGTGCGGGCCAGAGGACCACAGGATCATTGGCCAGGACAGAGAGCAGTTCCGCAAGATCGGACGTCTCTTTGACGAAGTACACACGGTTCGTTACAGCCTCAACACCATGACGGTCAGTCGTACTCAGTTCCTGAATGCACCGGAAAAAGTAGAAGAAGAAAAGATCAACAACGACATTGCGAAGAAAGATGAAAGCAAACCCAATGGAGATGGAGATGCACGGATCACCTTTGAATGGGTGCCCGATGGTGCCACTGTGGAAACGGTGAGTTGTAGTTGATTTTGGAGAGGGGCGGGCATAATTCTGAAAATCTTGATTATTTTTTCATTAAGTATTTTAATGCAAGACGTTTTTTGTTGGGGGGGGGGGAGGCTTAGAACACTCTGATTACTCTGCACAAATGTTTTATCTTCTATTTTTACAAACAGAGGTGAAAAGACTACCTTACATAGTACTGAATAATTAATAGTCATTATTCTGCACTGTTTTAAAATACAAATTTAGTAGATATGTCAATACTTTTCTGTTGAATCCTGCTGTTTATACTTAGCCAGGACAAAACACATGACTTGTAGACACAATCAACCTCCCAGTCTCAATTCAAAGTTCATTAGCAGTTTGTAGAGAGTAGTGTACTTTATACTATTATTATTATTATTTATTTGACCAATCAGAAAACATACAGTGAGTATAACAATCAGATAATACATAGACATTTCATAATACATACAAACAGCTTTAGGAAAGTGGAGAGGAGATAGAGAGAAGGATACAATCTGCTGGTCAGGGGTGACAAAAGCAATTTAAATTGCCAACTTGAAAGCATGTCACCCCCACAGTCTGCATCCTGGAAAATTAAGAGTAAAGAACAGGATAAAAATTCACAATATGACAAAATAAATAAATATATATATATATATATCAGGATAACAATAGTTGGAGCAATTACTATTATATCCTTACTTCCTTACTTTCATTACATTATTATGTCATTACAATGGCTTTACGTTCATCACATAAATATAAAAACTTTCAAATCAATAACCTGGCGTTTACATTAGAAACATTTGATATGATTATTATTGGGAAGGAAAGTTACATAATGGTATAAAATGCTTAACAATAATTTCTAACTTTCAAAATGAAATGAATACAATTGTAATCTGAAGCCTAATATGTACTAAACGGAACAAAGAAATGAGCTTGCAATATTGATATTATTTCTAAGTGACAAATTAAACAAATTAGTCAGTTATGAACTAGGTAAGATGTATAATAAATCTTAGGGTTTCCAAAAAGGCACAGTAAAATTACATATCAGTTGCTTTTAAGTGACGATCAGCTTGAGAGAAATGGACAGAATTTGAAATCAGACACGAGTATAAAAAATATTACCATTAATAATTATCAATACATTGTTTTACATTGAATTAAATGAGTTCAATGAACAGTGAGAAGAGATTGTTTCAGTGTTGAAAGGAAGGATGAAATAGAATGAAGTACAGCAGTATCTTTTATTTCTGTGGGAAGGTTGTTCCACAGTCTTGGAAAGCGGCGAGATGGAGAAAGAAAAAGTGCCTGTGTCCTAGAAGGAAGGTGGCGGAATGTAAGTACCTCTTGTCGCCTGGAATTGATCTGGGTGGATTCAGTAAGAGCCTCACAAAGGGTGAGACCACTGAGGCATTTGAAAGTGAATGAAAGAAGGAGATAGTCTCTCCTGGAAGATAAGCTTGACCAGTGAAGAGTAGTGAGTCTATCTTCATAGGACATGTCGCTAAGTATTTTCTTTTTGTGATTTGATATTTGAACTTGGTTATCAATCATTATGTCTGAATTCTCATTCTGTGTTCTTTTTGATCCATACATAAGATTAGATAAAACGCATTATAGATGTTTTGATACAAGTTTAAGAGTGATATATGTCAGTAAATTTGAAATGGTGACTTTGTTTTAAATTCCCAGTATTTTTAGGAATGTTATTTGTTGATATGAAAAGATAAATCAAACATGAATGTATGACATTTTTGTTATTATAAACAATTGAAGAGTAGTCTTTAAAGATTTGGAATGCTTATTTCTTACCCCTAGTTGCTTGAATTCATTCATAGTATGGGGCATCATTATCAGGCTTGGTGTTATTCCACCAACATATCACCTGCCTGAAACCCTATCGGACAGAAATGTTTATGGAACTTGGAATTTATGGTATAGAATGACAGTCTGGATTGTTATCACTCCAAGTTCACAGATATTTCATTACATTCTATGAGGGTGATAGGGTGAAGGTTTACTTGGATTGTAGCCTGACTGGGAATAGGTGATGCTGATCCATACAGTACATATATATATGAAATACAGTCTTTATTCTTAGTAGCACTTGAAATACACATACATCATACTTTACAGAAATGATGGGGGGGGGGGGGTACTTTGATTGTATCCCAACTGGGGTGGGGATGCTGACCCATAAAGTTACAGTCTTGATTGTTTTCACTTCAAGTTCACAGATATTTCAGCACATAGTAGAGATTCTATAAATAGCCTACACATACTTTCCTCTTTTGAAAGATTTGATGAACGAGCACTCAAAGAGTCTTATGATATCCTTTCAAGTAGGAAGAAATTCACCATCAATCCATCTTTTAGGTGGTAATCTTTGGGGCTGTGAAGAGAAACCTTTTATAATTGATAGGATTACATATTATGCTCCAGAATGTACTGTATAGGAGGATATAGAACCATGAACTCAGAGGTAACAATATTTTGGGAAGTAGCAATTCATAAATCATAAGTCATATTTCACAGATGTACATGTACAAAGTATATGAGCTGAACTGAAGTTCATTTCCTTGCAAAATTCTCTGAACAAGTGCTTTCTAATTTTTAAAATCTGTCATGTTTTCTAAATCTGGAATGATGCATTATATCTTTAGAATATATGTTAACTTATCAAATGGGAAGTACCCATTCTTTCATTCTGTAGTTTAAAAGAGTAAATACACATGAGATCAAAAGTTCAAGAATAGATACCACGCAGCTCTTTCCAATGAAACTTTGAACCCATGCAAGTATGTTGAGTAAACTTATAAAAATGCACTGCATGATAGAATATGATGCATAGATTTAACGTGCATACATGTATTGTATAGGTGTACAAGATGATGTATTTTAAAGTCTAATTGTAGGCCCCTAAACACTTTCATACCGTTGCATGTATTTTTTCATTATTTTTTAACACTATTATGTTCATACAGATGTACACGTAGACCTATTCTTCCAACCGGTAATATTAAAGCGAGAATCAAGGTCACTACATAACAGCTGGCCGTATTGATCTGCAATTGGTAATCTGTTGCTCTTATAAGGATTATATAGTTTTTCATCAGAATATTTCACCTTATCATGATATCTGATAAGGACGGCTGTATGCATAAATTAAACACCCATGCTCAAGCCATTACTCTGCTAGCCTCTTGTCGATGCCCTCGCGCTGTTGGAGTCTCTAAATTCTGACAAGCGAAGCGAGTCAGAGAACCCGAGGCGCTTGCGCGGAGGGCCTCTTGACAAGTGATCTGAATTTCTTATGTTTTACATTGTTTGGCGAATATTCCGACCCAGCAGAGTTCGGTGAAAGTCATCCAATCAGAGAGAGCTACTATGACGTAATATCTACCGCTCTGTGCGAATTCCCTCCGTGAGAGCGAGTCTGGCCGCCTAGTTGTAGTCTGCAAGCACAAACCCTGGTCAGTCGTAAAAGAGAGTGTGCACTATAACAGTGTTATAGTGCATATGCCACGTACTATAGCTGCTCCTGACCTATATTGGTACAACCAGTAGGTACCAGTAGATAGCTGGGCTAGGCTTCTCTCAAGGCACAATGATTTTTTGATAAAGTGTCAAATTAGGGTCTGTGCTTGCAGACTAGCCTAGTTGGGCAATCCCGAACACACACGTACACACACACAATCGCTGCGGTCTAGACATGCATTATTCAGTAGGAAATCGGGTCTCATGAATATATAATTCAGATCACTTGTCAAGAGGCCCTCCGCGCAAGCGCCTCGGTTTCTCTGACTCGCTTCGCTCGTCAGAATTTAGAGACTCCAACAGCGCGAGGGCATCGACAAGAGGCTATTACTCTGCCTGTATATTCCTCACTCCATGAATTTGAGCTCCGAAGAGCAATGAAAATATACACATCCTCGGTCATCACAGCGCAAACATGAAAGACTCACATAGCCTGTTCACACAGAATGAAAATTATACCAACGTTGTGTTGGAAATGTATAAAGCAGCATCATTAAAAGGAAACATATAGGTGCAATAGATCACATGAATATGTTAGTTTGTAAGAGGTAAATAGACAAACTTGTATGTTTAGTGTTAAGCTACAGTCCCATATACGTCCCGGACCGTCCCGGACCATCCCGGACCCCATCCGGGGTGATCCGGGATTCGGTCCGTGTTGACACCGTGTTGGCACCGGGGTGGTCCTGGATGGTCCTGGATGGTCCTGGATGGTCCTGGATGGTCCTGGGCGGTCCGGGAGTCGACCCCGGATGTTTTTGACTGTCAAAAACTGCCGGGGTGGTCCGGGACGGTCCGGGACAAAAGTTTGATCCGGGGTGATCCGTGTAGCCACCGTGTTGGGTCCGGGGTCATCCGTAGTGGCGCCGGGGCGGTCCGTGTTGATCCGTGGCAGTCCGGGAGTGAGTTATTGACCGCCCAGGACCATCCAGGACCATCCAGGACCACCCCGGTGCCAACACGGTGTCAACACGGACCGAATCCCGGATCACCCCGGATGGGGTCCGGGATGGTCCGGGACGGTCCGGGACATATATGGGACTGTAGCTTAAAAGCATCAAACTTTTTTTGAACAAAACATCCCGGACCATCCCGGATCACCCCAGACCATGGTCCGGGATGGTCCGGAGTGGTCCGTGCTCGTCCGTGCTGGTCCGGCTTTATATGGGACTGGGGCTTTACCTGGCCAGTCAGCAGTGTGCTGTCACTAGAAGCCTTATATGGCATATACCACATTCACATCAAGTTTCTGCACAAAACAATTAAATATTTAAATAATGCTCAAACCTCTGTTTTGCTCTCTACAATGTTTCCTCATACCGTCTGTTTGGAACCAAAAGGGCATTAACTCATATCAAATACACAGAGTAGACACCCTTCTGGCTCCAAACAGATTATATGATTTTCAGACTTCAGGATAGAGAAAAGAAATTTCTTGTATGGATTTACAGTTTTTCGTATATATCTGTAAAGTGATTTTTTTTCTCCAGTGTGAGTGGGGGAGTTAGTCACTCGTCCTCCTTCACAGCCAATGTTTATGCTGTGTCAATCTGCTTGGTTTATCTCCAAGAGGTAAACAATGTCTAAGAATATAAACAGTACCATTAGAAAGATGCATTAGGATTAGCAGCCAGACAACTGACTTTAGCCTTACATGTCATATGATATCAAAGTAAATGTAAATCATAATTTGTTCCTATACATAGCTGCCAACCTGCCATTCCTATTTTAGAGGAAGGATTCCTAATTTTCTGCCTTCCAGCGTAGTATAATAATCCCGTGTTCCTCTCATTTTCTGAAAACATCTGTATAAAAGCTTCTAAACATTGTCTCCCTAATTTTTGCTTATGATGGATTCCAAGTTTTTACTGTGGAAGGTTTGCAGCTGTATGGATACATGTACATGTAGGTTGTTTGGTAATGATAATTTAGAAGAACATTTTTATAAGGAATAAGAGGAGAATAAACGGCAGGAAAGAATGTGAAAAACAATGTGTGATTTAACTCTGGAAACTTAAACAGAGACATGTTTAGATATAAAAATAACAAGAAGGAAATCTCACTTTTCCATTAGCAAATAATTCAAGATCTTTATGAATTAGTAGTACACTGATTTGTTCAAATTGTAACGTTTCTGTTTTTTACCCTTTTTTTGTGGGTGAGGAGGGGGGGGGGGGGAGCCTGGCAGGGCAAGTTAGGCAACGTTTGTCTCATCTGTCAGACATTACGATGAACAAGGGAAGAAAATTGGCAATCTACAATGCTATCTCTACCCAGAAACCAAACATGATTATTATAATTGTTACCGTAGCAACGTAATTGACATTGACTGGATGTTGCAGATTTCCCGTGGCTCCACTGCTGAGAGGGGAATTTTGTTTTTGTAGAAGTGATGCAAGCCTGGGTATGAGGGCAATGGAAGTTGGTGAGGAAGGTGGGATAGAAATGAAAGAATGGATAGAGTAGAATTATATTTCGGAAAAGATACACAATTAACACAATAACCAGCTACTTGTAGATGTATTGAAATCAATGTCTAAGGAAAATTAATCAAAGCGGAATTAATACTGTTCTTATACTAAATTAACAAACATTCAGTGAATATCAGTAGCTACTCCCTGTTCATGAATACTTGTACAGATATACAAATGAATTGTTTCCATTGCTTTTGATACACTTTCATTCCAACACTTTCTCAATTCCCAAATGATAAAACAATAAAAAGATTAAGTCATATCTCTACTTGTTTCACTCTCAGAAACAGGTTGGCCCATAAATGTTGATCTCATCTTGCTCTCTCGACCTATTAACCTCTCATCGACTCCAGATAGGCAATAGATTAGTCTCGAACAAGGCTGGTTATTTTCTTAATGATAGTCAAAGTCATGGTCATCAGTTTGTTGTTTTAAACTCTCCATTTTGAAGAGGACTTATGAAACAGTATAAGGGTTAGTTAATATATGTGTAGATGTTCTTGCATGTGTCTGGGAGACAGGCATTTTTTGTGGACTGTTGTTTTCACAGTTAAAGGCTCCTAGCACAACATGCTCACAAATAGTTTTTCAGATCATTTTCAAGTGTTGTGGGATTTGTGACCCTATACGGCGATTGACAAAATTTGGCGAATTAGAACTCTCCTGAAAATAACAGCTTACACAGTAATTAATTTCAAAGCAAATTTATACGAGGTTGGGTGATGGCTTACCCCTTTCTATATACTCTGCTCTTTATTCAACAGGCAACATGATTGTGTGTGCTTTTTGTAGCTTTGGAGTTGAGTTTTACAAGATATACAAATAGTGTGAGGAGAGAAAGCATGAAGGTTGTGAGTAGTTTATTGATTAATCTTGACAATCGTGATGCTGCTTAGAAACGTAGGGTGTCAACTTGAGTTCATCTTTCCAAATAATTACAGTATATGTTGACTGAATACTATTGATTTGTTATTCCTTGATCTATTAATATACCTACATGTATGATGTAGCATATTTATCATATGGAACATTCTAAGTCTATATAAATTCTATTATGACACAGGGAATAGTGTACATTTTATATGTGGGCTAAAAATGATACATAATTTTTTACAGACCGTAATTTTGTATGATGTCATGCAAGTTTTCTTTCACATGATTTAACTGTGAACATCATTTTGCACCTCAAGTCATACCACCATACCAATTCCAGACCAACTCCAAAATGATCTTCTTTTCTTCTTCTCCATTTGAGGTAACATAATTTTTCTTCAGACTGTTGCTGGTCTAATATCAGTCTTGTTTTTGTAACTGGGGTATTGAATAATATCATTAAAAAAAGGATCTAATTATGAGCATTGCTTTTCACCCCTTCATCTGCATGCAGGCTACCCGCTACATGGAGATGCTTCCCATGGAGAGCCAGCCCATCGAGGGGACCCAAGGAGCCGACTTACGCAAGAAGCAGATGCACGTTCAGCTACCAGCCCATGACCAGGCCCCTGAGCTCTGCCAGAACCTGAGTGATAAGGAGGTCAAAGACATGGAGGACTTCGTCAAGGAGTACAAGGAGCATGCCGTGGGCATCGGGATGGTGCAACCGGTCCAGGTCAAGGCCGCGGGAAGCTCCTTCCAGCTAGCCGCTGCTCCCCCTGTGCCACCCAAGCCAAACAAGAAGGTAACATTGGAAAGGGTTCGGGAGGACCAGAGTTGAGAATAATCGTTAGACCATAGAGTTTAAGTTTGATGGATGGAATGGTGACTTTAATCCTGATTATGATGATGACCCGGGTGGTGATAAAGATGATGATGATGATGATGATGATGATAGTGATGATGATGATGATGGTGGTGATGGTAGTGATGGTGGTGGTGATGGTAGTTATGTTGATGGTAGTGATGGTGGTGGTGATGGTAGTGATGGTGATAGTAGTGATGGTGGTAGTGGTGATAGTAGTGATGGTGGTGGTGATGGTAGTGATGGTGGTAGTGATAATGATGATGATGGTGGTGGTGGTAGTGATGATGATGATGATGGTGGTGGTGGTAGTGATGATGATGATGATGGTGGTAGTGGTAGTGATGGTGGTGGTGATGGTAGTGATGGTGATGGTAGTGATGGTGGTGGTGATGGTAGTGATGGTGATAGTAGTGATGGTGGTAGTGGTGATAGTAGTGATGGTGGTGGTGATGGTAGTGATGGTGGTAGTGATAATGATGATGATGGTGGTGGTGGTAGTGATGATGATGATGATGGTGGTGGTGGTAGTGATGATAATATTAAATTTGGTTTAGAACATCTTGCAGTAGATAGTAGTTAATCTACTGCTTGCAATAAAGAAAATTATATGAAATATCTTTCCAACCTTTACCTTTACAATGGAAAAGCATATGGTAGTCTTCCAATTTCATAATGGAAGATGCAATTGCATGCTGTAGGATATTTGGAGAAATATGATAATTACATTGTATGTTATGTCTCCCTTGTATTGGAGAAAGAGGTTAAAGTCCACTCTGTACTTGCTTTTGCTATGACTGGAAAAGAAAGAGAAAAAAACCTAAGTAATTTGTTAGCTGAGGTGGTGATTAATACGTTCCTTGTCTGCACAAACAACTCTTCCATTGGCAACCAGGCAATGTACACATGACCTGGTTGAATACCCAAAGCAGTTTTTTTCCTTCATAATACTAGATCTCAGGAGCTCAACAGGTACTTCAATTGGGTCAAAGTCCTGACCCAATTACTTACTTTTATATTTAGACATCTGTTTAAAATTGAGGACATCCCTTGTTTAGTGACTGCCTGCAGTTGTTGCACGCATACAAATGCATCTTGTAAAATTTATGACTAGCAAAGAGAAGATGGATATATGTTTGTGCTTATGACAGTATTACAGAATATGTAGATAAAAATGGATGGAAAGTTTTCTGGCGCTTCGAGATTGATGTACGTGTAACCCAATATCTCAGCCCAAAAGCAGGGAGATAGAGTTGCTTGTCTATCAATAATATTTGACCTCATATACACAAAGAAATGTGGATTTCCTTTGACATGTGTCATACATGTAGGTCAACATCAGCAACATGAAATTGCATTCAAGTTTGCTTTTGGCTGCTAGTGAACATGTGATGTACAACAAGGAAAATATAAACCTTGAAGCTGAGAGGGGCTTAGATCTTGAGAGCTAAATATATAAAGGTCTCCAGAAAGGAGGAATAATGCACCACATTGCTGCAGAGAAAATCTCACTCTTTCTATTCATCGACAACCATAAGATGTGCATATTTATTTAATAATGCACTAGCATTTAGTATGGTCTTTTTAAGATCATCAAAAGCTATGTTATCAAGATATTGTGTAGATATGTTTCAAACTATTTGTCATACATCTATGAACATGACAGTGTAACGTTCACTCTTTTATTTCTCTGTATCTATCTCTCTCCCTCTCTCCCTTTCTCTCTCTCCTCCTCCTTTCTCGTATTCCTATCCCTCTTCATGTTCTTACAGGGTGTTCATCCAGGAGCCCCTGATGATGATGTTGGTGCAGGGGATTCCCCCGCCCCTAATGGCTACGGCACCTCATCCCCAGCCAAGCAGGGATCACCAGCCAAGGGATCCCCAGCCCATGTCGCTGCTACCGATGCCTCCGTGGGAACAGACCAGGAGTACTGGCCCCCACCACCACCTGTAATCAATGGAGATGGACCACAGATGACAAGCGAGGGAGTGGTAACAGACCTTCCACCCTCCCCGACCACCTCCACCGCTTCGGCTTCATCCACATCCAGCTCAAAATGGGTAAATAAAGTGGTTCTATGGCGCATGCTCCAATCACAATTGCTCCGCACTGTCAATTTCCTCCACTTAATTAATTTCTAATATGTCAACTCCAAATCATATTTGTAGGCTTTCTGATAGTGGAAAGGAAATGTTACTTCAGCTATTAGGTTTATAGAGAGGAAAATGGTACTACACTGCTTGGGATAAAATGACGCAAAAGATTGTTTTTGATTAGCCTTATGCTCTAAAGGCATTGCTCAAAGTGCATTTTTTTCTATCTGGACTAGTGCCACTTTTCTAGGATTGTAAAAATGAAGAGACATATAATATTTGTTTATGGATTGTGGACAAGCAGGCCTTTTTTTAACTTGGCTGAACTTTGGTTCACTACATAAAACAAACATAAGTGAATTCTAAGTGATTTTAAATGTGTAATAGCATCTCTATTCAAAGTATACGATCGATCATGCATGCTAAAGATCTCTAAAAGCCTTTGCCCAATCATATTTGTGATATCCACAAGTTTGTTTTTGTTTTTTTGCCACGAAAAATGGACCAGCTTTCATATGTTTATCCAATTTACAGCCAAAATACACGCACAAAGATGTGTGAATGACAAGTAACACTGAGATAGGAGATTGTGAACTTAATAGAGGTCTGTGCCACCGACACTGTAGGTCCATGGTTGTAGCAGTGCAATCCAGTAGCTAAACAAGCCTAGTCACTGTTGCAGGGCTGCACTGCCAGTGGCTGTTTAGGTTCTTGGCCTAGACCTACTCCATGCTATTAAGACGTCACTCAACATACCAACATCCTGACACTAATTAGGCTCCCTATGGAGTGCCTGGTCTTGTGTACTAGTAAAGTGGTTCCCTATAGACTCTATTGTGTGTCCACACATGCCAACAGCGTTCATATTGCTGCACTGAACTTGGTTAGAATGTGCTTGGAATCGTATTGAGTTTCCAATCTGACTTATGTTCACACATGTCAATAGGATTTAAAAATCGCAACAAAAGTGGTTCGCAAGATACTGTAGTAAAAAAGTGATTGGAGGGCTTGTAGTGAAATATTTCCCAGCTGACTTTTATGTTCACACATGCTGTCAGCATTCATGGCACTAAAGTTATAATGTGCATAGAATTAAAAGCTAGCTTAGCATTAGAAGCTAGCTTAGCATTAAAGTAGTTTTTCTATTGACTCTGTATAATTATATCCATGTATGATAAGTATTCACAATTCACATTGCACTATTATTAGAATTTTCGCAGAAGGCTCGTTAGTTCAGTAGTTGCCAATTGACTCTATATTCACCCCTGCTCACAGTTTCCTAACACTGAACAGCTAGTGTTCACATTAGAGGCTGTAAATTTCTAGATGATAACAATTTTACAGGAGGGATGTATTCAATCAGGCGCGTACGCAGGATTTTTTCAAGGGGGGGGGGGGGGGGTTTAACATTTATAAATCGGGCCAAAAATTTCGCGACGACTCAGCCAGCCGCTGAATAAGCGGTGGGGGGGGGGGGGGGTAAGAGGACACTTTTTTTTTTTTTTGTCCCCCCCAAAAAATTGCAATGACTCAGCCGACCGCTGTTCAAAGGCGATCAGATACCGCCCTAGTTCTAAACAAATTCCATGCTCTGGTGTTCAGGCGCGAGGCCTGCTTTGAACACTCCAATTTTTTCAAAGTAAACGTTTCGGCCTCTCCTGGCACTCAATTAAGGGCACCGGGCGAAAACTGAGAGGAAGGCCAGGACTGCAGTACACGCCTCACGGCGGAACGCAGACCTGGGCCCAAGATCCAACTATGAGCTTTTTAACTGGGGGGGGGGGGGGGGGGTTTACACACAAAAAAATACCAAAGGGGGGGGGGGTTTAACCCCCCAACCCCCCCCCCCCCTGTGTACGCGCCTGTATTCAATACAGGGTCAGTGTTTCAAGATTATCAAACAAACAATTATCATACCAAGACTTCCACTTAGCCTTGTTCTTCACAATACGTCCAGATTTCACTTTCCTTTTTAAAACTCTAGCATTTTTGTATGACAAACTATGAAGTCTTCTCACCTTACGTGTATGTCTTTTAGGTTTTAATATTTGTAAAGATGCTCTTAGTATTAATCTGTGGTCCACTTGTTTCCTATCTGAATATGATCCCTTGTTTTAATTGAAGTGCTTCAGACCTTCAAATTTCATTGTTTATCTGGGAGTTATTCCAGATATAAAAAGTGAAACTGCTCATAAAGACACAAAGACAGAACAGTTTATATGTGCTGCTGAATTGAAATTCTATCATCTGATCCATATGTTCTTTGTTTGCTCTAAACTAAGTTCTCTCATTATATCGGCAATCTGACCAGTAAAGAGTAAAGCATGCATGTATTTTGTATTGTAGAGGTAGTGGTACATTATGTAGCAAACATGGAATCCCTTATTAATATCTGTTACAGTTTTACAAAAAGCCCTTAGCAACTGTATATCTTTTAGAAATATAGATCAGAGTAACTGTTGCAACAGCAAAGGGCAAGTAATTTTCTCCGTTGCTTATGGCTCAACAGAGTTGACCAATTATATAGGCTGTCAAATGGACATCGTATAAATCTCTATGCATAGGTGAAAATTATTGGACGACTCTGCTTAAAATATATCAGGGTCTAGAAATAGCCATCTGATAATGGAAATGGTCAATTAGAATTGAGCAATCAGTTATATCATGACATGCACTCAGACTATGGTCTATCTGGACATGCTGTAGCCAATGACTGATTAATAGGAGGGACCTATAGAAATAATAACCTTGGTTAATTTAGACTGCCGTTTGATTTCATGTAGTTCAATGTTATTTTGTAGATCATATCTTGTCTTTCAAACGGATGTTTCGGGAATCATAGAGTAATTAAGATGTCCTTTGAAAAAACCCTCAAAATATATTCCGTCTCCTCTAGGCTCTTCAAACAAGCATGGTAGTTTTAAGAAATGACATTTGGAAGCCTATCAGAATTAGTTCAGTAGTTCCTGGTCTTAAAATTTCTTGAATGTAATTATTTTCAGTACTGTTTGAAATATGCTACAGGTGTAAGCTGTGCAAATTATGAATTTTAATTGAGTTGAATTGAATTGAATTTGTTTATTATCACCAAACTCATTGAATATACAGCCATATGCTGATTTTAAAAAGATGATGGCATTTAACACTTTTTTTTCAACACAAACATTTCCAAATTGGACCAAAAATGTAAAAACTTGGAGAAAAAAAAAATCAAAGATCATTTTCACTTCCCATGTCTGTTTCTCTTCAGACATGCTTGTCTGTAGATTGGAGCTACATTTGTTAAGCCAGCATGGCAGCATTTTCCCTAAAGCCATTTAGATGGATAACCCTAATCTATATCATGATCCCAGCCATCTGACTCTATCTCAATGTGACCAGTGTGTTTACTGGAGCCTAATGTACAGCATCATTAAATTTTGATTAGTCGGATAAGCGGAGCATCTCTATCTGGATGGCTTAAAGGGAATGTCCATTAGTATAAATGGCAACAAAATTATTTGTGGATGTAGCATTTGGCTTCGTTCATTTGATAGAAGTTACCATGAGAGGTAGAAAAATCATTAGAAAGCTGGAGATATTATATGATTGTCAATTAGAAAGATATTTCTATTTTTATCCCACTTGATTTTTATCATCTTCAGACACTTAATGGTTTTTTTCTCACTAATTACATTACTCTTCAGAAATGTATTTTGATAGACTCAAAAATTAACAAAAAATGCTTTATAGTTGTTGTATGCAGATTAAATGTTTATGTGATAATTCATATTATGACAAAACATGAAGTCTCATAGAAAATTAGGACACTGGCCAACAGGAGAATGTTTTTCTACATTTTATAATGTTTTCAGCATGTTTTAAAGCAAGAATTGCAAACAAAGTCACCTATTGAACTTTTTGCACAGTTACTGATATCATACAATCATAGAGAAAACCAATGATTGATATTACCTTTAAATCAACCCAGGATTACCTCTCTCAATTAGAGTCAAAGTATATTCATTCAAGGTCTGTCCTCTCTGAAGCATAATGTCTGTCCACACGGCATCACCTCCAGTAATTCACATAAATGAATCTTCCTTATCTGACAAATGAACTCAAATCACGTAATAATGGAAACAATCCCAGCGGCGCTGCATCTCTACATGTATTGATAATAAATAGACTGTACGCTGGTTCGGTTCAATGATCATATTATCGATTAATGATATGTAAGCACGTGTAAATGACATTAAATCTGTGTACCCAGATAGTCATAATGACAAAAGTCAACAGTGCAACACTGATAATTGTATGGTGAGAATGTATATTTCAAAGTGATTTTTTATCACTTTTTGGATCTTCCTGTAGCATATTTATGTGAAAGAGATAATTATGTGCTCTAATAGTATCAGTTAATTTATCTTACTATCGTTCCTTTAATTTGATGAAAATTAGTGGATTTAATACTCTCCACACTTAACAACTTTTAAAACTGATTTTGACTAATACCTTATATCTTTTTTAATTCTGATGAACTAGAGACTGAAAGCCATTACCATACTTGTTATTACTCTAAAGCCTACATGCAAACAAACAGAGCTTTTGTATAATTCCGGTACTCCATGAAATAGTATAATGAATTATTAACTATCCTTCTCTTCTGGCACTTAAGTACCAAAGTCTGACATCTGTCTGTATGATAATGACATCTTTTGTGAAAAACGTACCAATGAACTTATTAAATAGGATTCAAGCATGACTGATGACTCCATTGTTTCTTTAGTATGATTTATTTTCAAAACGAAACATATCATCCATAGTTTGCAAAGTAGTTGAGGGAGTACATATAGATTTGTTTCTTCTTCAAGTAGAAGGTGAATGTAAATTTCTTTATGCCGTGGTTTGTTCTTTGCCCTGTATAGTTCTGTTTATTTAGAACCTAATAATGGTTTTCTGGTTGAAGTTTACTGCAGTATCTCCAAGTTTATTGAGGCAGGTTCATGTTTACTGAGTGCAAACAAACATTGTAGGTCAAGGAAGATGACATGTTGTTGTTTTCCTTATGTAGCCTGTACGTTTTTTTGCTTGTTTACAAGACTTGGATTGAAAGACCACTTACAAATTTTGTTAGATTTTTTTTTTTTAACAAACCCTACGTTATTCTTGCCTTCCTGATGATATCTGAAATTTTTATGTCTTTGAATAAGTGTTATTCTGTAAAAAGCTTGTTGAAATATCTCGCAATTGTCAACCCAACAGAATCAGATATGAAAACAAATTCTCCAAAATCATCAAGTAGTTTTTACTTGGTGGTTGAAACAACCTTCATTATCATATTCAATGTTATCATCTTATTTCTCTGTCTTTGTTTCAATCTTCATTTATCCGTCATACGTCAGCTCTCAATAATGATTCAAGAGGGGTGTGTGCTTGTATTCGTGTTTACCAAGTAAACATACGTAGGTGTAAGCCATGCAGCGTTAGTCATTTTTTATTTTGTATGACTATGGAGTTCTCTTCCACTGCTTGAGACAGTACTAGCCTTGTCATATATTTTTGACATGCTGACGTTTTTCTCCTTTCACCTTCTCTCTCGTACCCAGCAATGCGTGAAGTGCGGGGAGAACATGAGCGGTGGCGACGTGGCCGTCTTCGCTGAGAGGGCCGGAGTGGATAAATGCTGGCATCCAGGCTGCTTCCGATGCACAACATGCAATGAACTGCTGGTGGACCTCATCTATTTCTTCAAGGGGGATCATATCTACTGTGGCAGGCATTATGCAGATACACTCAAGCCTAGGTGTGCTGCTTGTGATGAGGTAAACACCCCTGATATTAAAAATGGAATAGTCCATTATCATTGTTATAGTTATGTCATGAATTCATGAGTTGTTTTCTTTGCTTTATTTTGATTGATGTGCCATGCCATATTGCTTCCATACGTTGCACATATCAAGCTTTTTTTTAATGTTGATAAATTAAACACTATTGTGGCTCCATGAACGTGCTGTAAGACAATGTAAAGATACTCAAGTAAATCTGTGACACGCACCAATATTGTGGTATACCCTTAACAATTGGTGTATTTATGCTGAGGTACTTATCAGTTCTTGCTTTCAATAGAAATCAGAAATGGGAATAGTGATGGTATGTTATTAACTGCACTTTATTGAAGAATGCCATTTGCATCAATGAAATTATTGTAGAAGTTGGATGAAGATAGAATAGTGATTGTGTACTTGAACATAATTCTTTTATTCCAAATGGCTTCCCCACTCAGTCATAATAGATTAAATGGCACATTTAAACGATTGAACACTTGAATATATTGTTTTTACTGCTTTTGTTTCATTTTGACATTTGATTTAAACAATGGTTGATAAGTGTTGTCAATGTTTCCACATTCAAACAGGAAAGTGAAAGTGATAACTTTTATGATACCTTGATTTTGAGATTCATTGTTTGTTAATTTGCCACCCACATAATCTAGTAGATGTTGTATAGTTACAACAATTGCAATTGCAATACAACAACATAAATATTCAAAGCTTCCCTCTTGCTGGTAGTGAATTTTGTGATGGTATATACATGTACAAGCCAGAACATGAATACTCAGTTTGATTTATTATAACTAAAAATAGCTCCTAAATAAAGGTAAAAAAATATATATGCTTAACAAGTACTAAAAGATTGGAGTTATTCAATAGTTACATGTAGTTCTTGCTCTTAGGTCATTTATTTTGTGAACACTCCAGCAGTTGCTTCCCATCCTACCACACAATGAAGTATACAAAGCATAAAGAAGTAACCTTCTGTCAGTAATAACAATAGCTACATAGCCATCTCGGGGGATGCTCATTCCACCTACCAAAGTACTAGATTTTGCTTCAAGAAAATGGTAGTATTTCAGTGAAAAATGTCCTACCAGGTACCCATTTACTACACCTAGGCAGAGTGGCATATGTAGGTTAGTATTTTACCAAAGGACACTAGTGTTGCAGCTGGGTCTTGAACTGTGAACCATGTGATCCACTGCTCAGTGATATTTCCAAGGCACCTCTCAGGCATTAAAAAAAAAATTTGTATTGCCCTTTGCGACTGTCCTAAAAATCTTGAAATCTACGGTCGGCTTTTTAATTTATTAATATTGTTACTGTTTTTTTAAGAAAAAAAATGTTTTATGAATAAAAAAATATGTATCAAAGCATTCAAAACTGAGAAATATCAGCCCAAAGAGGGAGGGGGAAAAAAGAGTAAAAAAAACACAAACATTTCCGACCGACCGTTTTGGCACGTAAAGGGCAATGCAACATCTTTCTTTTTAGGCCTCATTAATGTAACCTTTGTGATTGCTATTTCATGATATCCTGACTCTGTTATTCTACCTTCCTGTTTCCTTCCTGCAGCTCATCTTTGCATTGTCCTACACCCAAGCTGAGGATGGTAACTGGCACGTCAACCACTTCTGTTGCTATGAGTGTGACACGCCCCTCGGCGGACAACAGTACGTCGCTAAGAACAGCCATCCGTACTGCATGGACTGCCACTCACAGAAGTTTGCTAAGGTAAGCTATGACATTTAAGAAGCATTTCACATGCTCTGGCCGCACTTCATACTATGATATAAGCCGCCGTGTTCATGGTTCACAGGATACCTACGTGGTGTATGTGAGAATCTTTATTTTCAGAATGATTAGTGCAGGTTATGTACATGTATAATCAGGCATGAGAATCTCCCACGTTTCCACTATTTCCTGTTTTTTTTATAGACTAGAATATTTTGAGCCCCCCCCCCCAAAAAAAAAAATTGTTTGGGATTAATTAATAAACGTCATAGGCATATACCCCTGCCTTTATTGATGAAACCACCGCAGTTTTGAGAGACATCATGATCAATTACATCGATCACTGCCCCCTGGACCCCCGTTGTACCCCCGTTGAGGTTCAAAAAAAAATTACTGATTTGAATAGCATGATTGAAATATTAGGGTATAGAGAGCTTTCCAGCCAGAGAAAGGCCATATGGGTTATAAGTCAAGATATATTCATATGACTAGTCTGATATTGCTCTGTTTCACAGAAAAATTCAGACTTTCCCCTTACTGAAAGGGTAACAACACCATTATGTATTTAACAACTATTTTTAGTTCATAACAACAGAATTTCTCACTTTCTATTTTGATATCATAAAATGAATGTAATTCCTTTCCCAATTAAGAGTGTAGTTCAGTGGGATTGTATGTGTGGGTGGCTAAAGATTTGTTTCATTTTGAGAGCTCTCCACATACAATAGATTAAGGATGTATGGTTGATGATAAAAATAGATTTGATGGATACAAAAATTATGATTAACTGAAAAGAGAAGTGTGAATGACAATGCTGTAGTTAGTTTATTCAAACACACATTTATTACAATTTGATTTAAGGGGCCCTTATACAAATACAGAATGTAAAAGTATAAAAGAGAGATTTAATTGAACATGAAGTGATTTCCTTCTTTTTGAGATACATATTGTTGCTGGTAGCATCCAGATTGCATATGGTCATGACTCATATATCAAAATACTTGATGGTAGAAGGCAAGACATTAAGCCTTTTACATTAGGCATGAAATTGCAGTTGTTTTCTCCTTCAAAGCAATTTTCATGATTGAATTTACAACTAAACAATAAACATTTCTTATGGACAAACTAAAATTATTTGTCTAATCATCCAGGGCATTTGCTAGTATCAAAAGTTGCCAATTATTACTGTAATCACATTTATTCCTACACAAGATGAGGCTGTTTTTTTGTTGTTATTTTTTCTCTCTTCTGATCATTTGGCTTCAGCTCTTTTTAAGCTTTTTTTCCTGTTTTGTTTTTATAAAGAAAAAAACAAACACATAGATATCTTAGACAAACAAACAAGGTATATCAAAATATGATTGTTGCCCCTTTCAGCTCAACCAGGGTTCATGATCATTACCTCATATGTGACACATAATAATTTGTTTTGTATTTCTTTCTTATTTTTAAAACATAATTTTAAACTGTCTGTTATTTTTTTTTTCTGATTCAGATGTGCACGAGCTGTGGGATGAAGATCGGAGCTGGCGTACCCAGACTGAGCCATAACGAACACCACTGGCATGCAGACGATGACTGCTTCCGCTGCTCTAACTGTAAGACCACCCTGGTTGGCAAATCATTCCTCCCTAAAGAGGGCTACATCTTCTGTTCTACCAAGTGCAAGAAGCAGCTGCTCAGATAATCGGTGCTGAGATAGATAGCGCCCTCTAGAGTGAGAGAAGAGATAGCTGGGTAGGTTTGGAGACTGTGCCTGCGTACTCGATGTGCGAGTTACTCAGAGGAGACGTGAGATGCAATTGGACAACAGTTAACAGCATTGCTATAACGGACTGTAAATCTACATTGTAGACATGATACCAGAGATGGTATATAATATTAATGGTATTATAAAGGTCTATTGTGTGGGCATTAACTGTTATTGCTAACAACAAAATAAGGGACATAAGATACACGATTTACGAAAATTACATACAATGAAACGTCTGTTCTATTAGAAACGGGGTCACGCTCCCACCTAACCTATCTGAATATTTTAAAATTACCTACACCGAGACATGACTTTCATTACCTTCATGTATAACCTTAGTTAAAACCAAATGTTCGCTGAATTATATGTACATGCATATCTACAAACACTTCCTCTTCTAGCACTCAAATTAAATAAATAATCAATTAATGCAATGTATCAATTACAATGATTTTTTATCTCTTCTGTAAAGTAGGTAATTATTCCAAAAATAATTACACCAATACAGATATAAAATCACAAGTACTATCCAGTTTCAATTTAAGACTTCATTGCATTGCAGATGTCATTGATACACTTCATACCTATAATTACCTCCATTTGCATTTCTCTTTTCAGAGAAGTATGAATAACATTTATGGTATCATATCCGCCATACCTCAAAAGAGTTTGTCACTTTCAGTTTCAGATTTCTAATAATTCCTCACTGTACCCTGTATGTTTTATTGGTGTGTTATGGTAGAAGCTAGATAAGCACGGACCAAATAAAGAATGGAGATAGGCTATTTTCAATCTCTTTTATTGTTTTTCTCTATGAGATAATCAACCATACAGGCTAGTTTGAAAGTCCTTTATCTAGCCTCCAACTGAGAGTGAGTATCTCCTGTCAAAGACTGGTTGATGAAAGCGTAAGTGAAAGTCTTCAACCTGTGATTGTTCAAAGCCAGAGCTCTATGCATGAACAAAGTCTAAGATAACGTACCCTTCAGCATCTTTTGATAAAAAGCCAAGTACCAAGGAAATAGAATTCAAATATACTGAATGAGATAGGTAGTGGATCAGTCAAATAGTGAGTATGTAGGCATAGTCTTCAAACAAATAAAGAAGGAGATCAGAATTATATTTAGGGAATATGTTCATTTATAAAGAGGTCTTGTATTTTGTTCATTTGTAAATTATGATTCCATGTACTTTGTATATTGAACAAAAATGATATTAATATGAGTTAGACAGCTCTGTCATCTTTCATTGGTCATTGTAATTACGCATTGAGCTCATGGTTGTGTACAGATAATATAAAATTGACATGTAGGTTTTCATTACAAAAAGGTGCAAATAAGCCTTGGTTGCTAAACAGTGAGAGACTATTGCCAAGAAATTATGGATTAAACATGTAAACAGAGTATGCAACTCAGATGATAATGCTGCATATGTGTATCTCTGATTACGATCATGTATGTTTTATTCTGAAAATATTTTATTCTCTTCTTACTTTCAATGTTTACCTGTAAACAGTTTGCTTACCGGTAGTTGCTCATTTAATGATGTGGCATTTGTATTATCTAGTCGGTAGTATAGTCAAAGAGTACAATTACTATTATCTATTGGCTTGACTTTGCACATTGTCAGATCCAAACTGGATATACGGACATCAATTCAACATTATGTCGCAGATGCTGATGTTATGAAATTACATGTTCATGTTGCAAATTGAATCCATATTTCATTAGTATCATAGATTATCAGCTTTGTAGTAATTGCAGATAAACATATCATATTCTAGCCTCCAATGTGAGTGAACATCTATGACATCTTCCTATCCCAGTTTGTTTGCAAACTTGATATAACTTGTTGATCAGGAATGTTGCTTTCTTTGTGTTGTGTTTTGATGGTTTTCTCAAATATTTTGGCCAAAGAATAATCCAAGAACTTCAATTCCCTTTCCCTGCTTTTTTCAAATATCATTGTCATTCCATTTTGAAGATACAATTATGCTTTGATCACCTTACAGACTGTGTGCCAGCATGTGCTTCATCAAACCTGTGAGATATTGTAAATAAGTGCCTTGTTGATATTCTAATTTTGAAGGACAAAAGTTTTGTTGTTGTTGTTATTTAGCAGCCCAATTTTGGAGCATGGGTGTGGAATTTTGCCACTGTATGTAAAATCATTTGCTGTTAACCCAACTTAGGGTGCTTTTCTCTCTTTTGTAAAATGTAGTTTACAATTCATTTGTCTTGATACTACTGCAGCTTTGTTTGCAGTGTGTTTGAAATAATGCCTTTGGTAAACAATGCAAAGGCAATGTCTTTTTTATGCCCACCTTTCTCTTTTATTTTCAGGTTTCATTTCTCTCATCATTTTAATTGTAAAAGAGATATCATGTAATACACATCGAAATTGTATTTTTCCTTTTTAAAAGATAGTTAGAATGTATGATTTTATAAAAAAGTATATATACATGTAATTTCTATTTGAAAATTGTATTTATTCTGTCAAATATGCCTTTAACCTGTATGAAACAGGAAAATAATAGATATATTTTATCATTTCAGCTACTACACTGATTTTTTAAATATTATTTACATAAACTTTGTAATCATTTAATAGCTTAAAGAGAGGGAGAAATGGAGTCTTTATAATGTTAATTTCCCGATTAGTAATACCGTATGCGGTTTTCTTGTTATATATGATGCACTCTGAAATAGAATTATGCAATTTGTTTTATTTTGGGATTGTAAGGTGTGTATTTCCTTCTTTACAATGAGCCCATTCATTTGCAATATATTTAAGATGGATTTCTAAATTTACTAACAATTTCTGCATCATAGCACCGAATCAAAATGAATATATTTAAAAAGACATCAATGAATATCAATAAACGGAAAACATGCACTTAATATTTTGTTCTTCATAACTTATAGTTGTTCCTTTTACCTAGTGTACAGGCATTTTCAATTAAGCTTAAGTTATCTAAATTATAATTAGGCAATTGCTGTAGAAACCAGGGGGTCATTTCTCAAAACTTCTAGTCTAAGAGATTGAACTAGCCTTGTCAATTGATGTTATATGCTATGTTATTGGAAGAGCGCCATCTTTTGTCGTATGTTGGACAATTCTATGAGGAGCCCGATCAAATTGTACACAGAATTTTATAGAAATAAACCTGTACATTTTGCCATATTGTTCATTGGATCTAGTTATATTTAGTATATTTGCATAGCTTGCTTTTCATCCAAATCATTGCACAAACCTATATAACAGCTGTGTTGAGACGGCATTTACAAATTTTAATAATTTTTCTACTTTTCATTTTCTTCACGCGTTGCTTGCTACCTAGCTAACAATCATTTTCCAATTCATTATTTATTTCTCATGTATTTCTTTTGTATATTAGCGTTCATATGAATATAAGAAATGTTTATATGGTGAAAGCATTAGTGTGCCGTTTCTGGTTGTGACCAACTATTCCCATTTCTGTAACATACTGTGTTTGTAAGAAAAGAAAAATAAATGCCATGTACTTTTGTTTGGTGGTGATTTGAATCCAATCGAGGCCGCTAAATTTGAGAAAACAATGAATAAAAGATGTTATTATCTTTCTCACCTAAAATCGTGATCTTACATTTCTGTTTCTTTGTATTTGTCGCTTATAGAGAATTTACTAGAATTCTACTTTGGGTATGAATTTTGTATTGGACCGTGTCATTCTGTGGAGATGTTCTTGTAATTGTTGAAATATAATATTCAATTGAAGTGCACTATTCGTAGATGAGCAAATGCTCAATCATTCTGTATAGAGTGCAAGATATAAAATCGAGGGTTTAGTGACACAAAGACATAACTCCATATTTTGCCAAAATGAGCACCATATTTGATATCAAAACGTTCAGAAAAATGTGGACTTTCCAGGAAGCACAAATACTATGGCTAGTGAAACAGACTTGACTCCTTAAGGCCCAAGTGCTCAGTGACACATAACCCACTTTTTCTCATAGTGGCCAAAATGGAGTTACGTATTTGTGTCACTGACCCCTCGAAACGGGAATTTGGCCCAGCATTGCGAGGACAAATAGGATAACTAGATGTAATGGTCTATTTGTGTAATATCAAATTCATTACAAACATCTTTGTCAAGTGCCTCAATACAAATTATTGCATTAACCCGTTACGAAAACATGCATTTGTATATGCAGTCAAACTTGTTTAAGTGACCACTTGTCTACTAAGACCACCTGTCTACAAAGGCCACATTTTTTGTTTCCCTTTGAAACATGCACTGAAGGAATCTGTCTACAAAGACCACATTTTGTGCTTCCCTTGGGCGGTCGCTATAGACAGGTTTGACTGTATTTGTAATTGTATTTCAATAGTCAGAATACAAATAAATTGTATACGTCAGTTGTTAGTACGAAGGACAAACATAAATTGCCATACCTAACATAATGTATGGAAATTGGCATTCTGACTATTGAAATACAATTACATTTAAACCTGTCTTAAGGCTACCCAAGGGGAATGCAAAAAAAGTGGCCACTGTAAACAGGTGACCTTTGTAGACAGGTTCTTCAAAACAAGTTTCCTCCTAGAGGGAAGCAATACAGATGACCACTATAGAGAGGTGACCTTTATATGGAGGTGGCCGCTCAGACAGGTTCAACTGTAACCATGAATAATTTGTAACAAGGCACTTCACAAAGAAGTATGCATTCAATTGTATTACATTACGAAAATGGCCTATTAAAAAAAATGGCTAGTTCTGTTATTTTAATCAGCACCACCATCAGCATCGCTGTCATGCATCATATCAAGTTCTCAACAAAACATTTTATAATTATTATCATTAGCAACATCATCATATCATCAACATAATCACCGTTTATTCACCACAGATTTTTTAGTAGAACTATACAGAATACTAAGGAAGAGCATTTCTTTAAACTGATGAATTGTGAATTTATTTTCTTTTTTGCCATTTCACCGACTGCATACTTCTGGAAAAACTAAATGGAAAAAGATGGAGCATTAAAAAAAGCACCAATATTTCACTAAAATAACATAAACAGCTTCTAAAATCATCAACAATATGAACATATATTATAAATTACTTTTGGTTCATAATACATATTGATAGTAAATATTCCTAATATTGGCTGCCATAACTTTCAACTACATCATACTGCCAAATATTTTATCTCAAATTTTACTTAATATCCCAAGCTCCCACATACTCTTAATTTACAAGAACAGATACATGTATTTACCATAAAATCATTGTATATGTACATGTACATCATGAACTATATAATTCTTCTGTATGTATATATGTACAAGAGTTGATAATTTACGAATGGAAAGTTGTTACTATTAAACTTACAAATACCATATGATGCACTCGCACATGACAGCAAATAGCTTCAAACATTAAATGCTATTCTAGCAAACTATACATCTATATAACAGATGCCAATATATCTTAGTCGTTAGTTTTGAATTTCATGTTCATCAAGGTTTAGACGGCATTTGCCGAAATAAATACTAAGAATGGACAGTGGTAGCTTTAATAAAGGATGGAACTGTAATAGTACTGTTCTTAAGTACAAAAACAGGACTGGAATACACAGGGCGGATATCAACCTACCTGTTTGAAATACATTTTTAAATGTTCATGAATTCCTTCATATATCCACCAAAAGTGATTGAATATGATAAGGTATGCAAGCAAGAGAATTCTAACCATGATCGCTTACTACTCCCATATTAATTTTGTAAGATATAAAAAAAGAGAAAAATAATATATCAATAAAGTCTATGCCGAGTATTGTAACACAACAATCAATTTTTCAGATTTCTCTAATTTCAGTTAATAAATTGCAATATATTCACAGCACAGTTTGTTTTTTCCAAGAAATAAATCAATAAGCAAATTATGGGTGAAATTATCAATATCATCTTGTATCCATATGATAAGTATTCATTTTGTCTGTATTTTTACAACAAATTTGCATGAAGGTGATTTGAGCATAAAATGATGATCAGGATCATAACATATTTATTTTGATACTGATCATAACTACAAATGTCCTTCATTTTTCTGGCTCAATGAATACTCTGTCTGAAACATCAAAACAATTACAGAATACAATTTTTCAATGAGATAACGACATAATGGCATTCAACTCGTAAAATGACAAACTATGTAACATAATAATATCCCATTGACGCTGATTCAAATTGCACTCATGAAATGAAGGTAATTTTCTCTTGATTTGTACAAATTTGAACACTTAAAAGCAATGATCATGTGCGTAGAAAAATGATAATTTCAATGATTTCATTAAAAGTATCACATGAAATATGCAAGATATGCAAGTCTGTTAAAAAATGATAAAATGACTGCTCTTTGTTGAATTCTCTGGAGTTTTTTCCTCTTCAAATAGACCTCCCTACACTAATTAGTATTTTACATAGGAGTGTTATCAATTTTGCAGAGATACGTGACAACAGAAACTCTGCATACATGTAATTTGTATTGGCCCCCTCCCCTGCCCCCTATTTCCCCCCAAAGAGAAAATTATATTCAGAGATGGTTTTACTCCAAAGTTCAGCCATACATGTATAATTCAGTTTAAAAAGTCAATTGGAAAGAAGAAAAAAAAGGATTGAGCAAACTTAGTGGTGCCTTTCATGCATTTTTGAAAGATCCCATTGTCCAAGAAAGACCCTCTTCTTCAATTGACCCATTAGAAAAAGAAACAAAGATTACAATTTAGTCAATAATAATTCTTTAATCATGATTTACATGTATGTTTAAGTATGAAGAAGAAAAGATTTTTTAAAACACCACTATGACTATCAAGATGAAATGTATGTATCCTTTCTCTTCATACTAGTTTGAACTGACTCTACGAATACACTTTACATTTAAAGAACTCCCATGTCATTTTGGTGGTCAATAAAAATTGGGAATACAATGGAAAACGTAAATTTGGAAGTGGATCTTTGTTCAGCTTAACACTTAGGAGACGGCACAGTTGCCTTTTTTCTTGGATCTGGACTTCTTCTTTTTGCCATCTTTGGGATAATGTACAGTGGGAAGGGTGTTGATCTGTACCCTAGCAGGACCCCTTTCAACATATCGGATCTTGGGGCCTGCGTTGATGAATGAACTCCGGGAGCTGATGAAGTAGTCATCATCATCATCAGAGGAAGAGGAGGAGTAGTCGTCATCCTCATACCTGTTGTATTTATCATATTTCATATGAGAAGAGACAGTTCTTGTCATCCTCTGAGATCCGTACTGACCATCCCGACCCCTCTCAGAGTGATAGGTATCAGCACGACGATCAAAGTGAGAGGCTGACCGTGACATATGCTCGTTGGGCCTCCTCTTCGGACTGTAGCGATCGCCCCCTTCCGACTTGATCGAAGCTCTCCTCTGCATGTCCTTGTGGTGCGATACAGGCTCAAGCTCTTCGTAATTGTCACAAAGTTTGGTGTGGTGGCTCTCGCTGCGGAGCCGGTTGTTCTTGTGTGGTTCTTCGTACCTGTGTTCAGGAAAACCTTGCCTCTCGTTCCTCCCATAGGAATTAAAGTGTGGGTTCTGCTGCTGCTGCTGGTGTGGGTTCTGCTGTTGGTGTGGCACCTGCCCCCGTTGCTGCTGTTCGTACCTAAGAGCATCCTGTCTCAGAGCATCTGGTCTCATTCCATTCTGATGCGGCTGTTGTTGCTGTGCAGTGTATGGTGTCTGATATCTCTTATGCTGAGGAGTGCTCACAGTCGATGCCTGCATAGACCTTGCACCTCCGATCGTGTTAGTAGCTGTTCTGAAATCCACTGCACCTCCCTGCATCCTGGCATCCACCTGCGTGTGAGATGGATGTCTTGGTGGAGGTTGTGGCCGACCCTTCTGATCAAGTCTCTGACCTTTGTGCACGGACAGATTTTGCGAAGAGGAACTGTTTGCTTTCCTTCGTCTGTCCTGCATTGCACTCCTAGGTCTACTGTAGTCTGTTGAAGAACCATTTCTCAGATCTGGTAATGATCTCCTCGACATGTCTTTGCTCCTCTTGAGGGATGTTTCCCTGCCTGTATCGGAAGCAACAACACTCAAATTGTCCAGGTTCAATTCATCAAGATTAATCGGTCTCCGACTCCTACTCTCATTATCAGTCCTACTATCCTTGGCGATATGCAGGGTCTCTTTGCCGTCTTTCCCTCCAAATTCTCCTCGACTGCATGCACTGCTGCAGTATATGAGTCCATGTTTTGGCAAGAATGGTCGCCCAAGCAACGACCTATGGCATGTACAGCATGAGAAGCACTTCTCTGTTGCATGCCAATGCTGGCCTTCGTGTGACATTTGACCTTGGTCGACCCCGATGGCCTCTCCGCAAGAATCGCAGTACTCTGCAAAGAGACTTTCAAAGCAATGACAACAATAAGGGTGTCCTTCTCTCATGATATAACGTTGACCTCCTAACTGTGTGTCACATTCGAAGCAACAGAAGTGTTTCATATGCCAGCTACGACCCTCTGCCTCAGTGCACTCGTCTGCAAAGATTATCTGAAAATTACAAAATAGAGGACATAATAGAGGAATTAGTTCTGAGCTTAGTTAGACTTTTATGACTTAAAGAGTAATTAACTGTCTAAATAAACCTGTGGAGATATTTTCTAAAAAATTTAACAAATACATCCACACCCCAAGACCGATTACAAAATATGGTACAATTTGTAATGTCTACATTTCATAATACCCAGAAAAACATTCAAGATCATGAACCACTATAAGCCAATCAGCAACTATATTTTGTGGTAAAAGAGACTTCATACATGTTTTGTATTCCTATCCACCAAAAACAAAAGCATATAAAAGTATTCAATTTGTATAAAATATCAAAGTATCTTTTATAGATTTTGATATCATTGGTAGTATACATCAACTTCTGGGTTATCATTCAACACCTTTAATTACAGCCTTCACTTCCTTTGTAAAACCTCAGCTCACTTGAGTGCCCCATCTTTATACCATTCAACTCTTCTCTAAAGCCCCCTTACACCAATCCCCACCCCACTCCTCCCCCATCCCTTCTCCTTCACCCCCTGTTACTCACCTCATCACAAGCAGCACACCTAGGTTTGAGGGACTCTGCATGATGTCTTCCGCAGTAGACCTTGCCTTCCCTGTAGAAATAGATGAGATCCACCAGGAGCTCTTGACACACAGAGCATGCGAAGCAACCAGGATGCCATGATGCATTGTGACCGGCTCGTGATGCAAACACAGCAATGTCTCCCGCACTGATCCCACCACCACACTGCAGTCAAAAGAAAGAAAAATGAAGACATTTTGATAGGTTAATAACTTCAATTGATATAAACATAATTTTCTGCATGGCTTAAACAAGTTTCCAAGATGTAACTTTCCTAACTCTCTCTCTTCTTACATAACAATATTTTTTTAATTCTTTTAATTATGTTCATTTTCAGGTATGATAATTTAAGTTTGGAGGCAGGAGGTGCACTGGTATCTACTGCAGGTCTGAAGTATATTCTTTGTTATAGATACTGTTTAATGATCCAAACAAGAAACCCTTTTGAAGAGTGAGGATATTACCCCAAAAGGCTTTTTAATTAGCATGCAGAAAATCTATCCACTTTGATCCAGGAGGCAGAAACATGTTCAAAATTCTTTAATGAGTTATTTACAGGTGAGTAAACTACACTGTACAATCCCACAAGTCAGAAGGTCACCTTGTCCAATTAAAACCCTTCTGGCTCTTTAACAACAGATGATATAATCAAGAGGGATAGGTGAGAGTGTTCTAAAGCCAGAAGGGCATTAACTCATATACTTCAACTCAGAATGCACAGCCTTCTTGCTCTGAACAGACGATGCAGTAATGAGGGAGTGGTAAGAATGTTAGATATTTCACACCTGGGATTACGTAGTGTTTGGAGAGGGAATCTGATACTTGATCTTATATCAAAAGGATAACACCAGACAGGATACAAACCAAAGGTTAAACAAGGGCAGTGACCTATTAATGAACATATGGGCAAGTCTAGGCAAACTTATTAAATCATATGTGAGCATGAGGGCTACACTAAAATAATATAAAATCTCAGTATATGCATAAATTTGTGTAAGAAAAAAAACCTGAGGTGTTTTCTTGATCACACAAATGTAACTTCTGTTCTATACCATCCATGGTTGTGTTTAACAATTTGGATGGTGTTAAAATGCAAAGTGGTGTTTGCAAAGCGATATTTGCATGAGCAATGTCTTAATAGAACCAACTAATCCATCCAAACTTTCTAAACACTATCTGGGTCCCGTCTTACAAAGAGTTGATATCAATAGCAACTTATTTGCTATTGATATCAATTGCAACCATGTTCATAAGAGATAAGAGACTGTAAATTTGTGGTTGATTGGAGGACTTACGATTGATTTGGATCAACCGTAACTCTTTGTAAGAAAAGATAGTCGATGACTAACCTGGTTACAAATACTTGCTGACAGGGTGATAGGTATGGGTCTGGCTGCTCCTCTGCCGAGTGCTTCCCTCTTCCTCTGGCTACTGAACATCCTTAACTCTTTCTTCTCATCCTCTCCCAGACCGTTGCAGTACCGGACCTCGTTGTCGTGAGGCGGAAGCTGCTGCAGCAGCGACTTGATGCGGAACTTCTCCCCAGTGCTGTTCACGTATGGAACCTTGTCGTCGGGTAGGCTGCAGAAGTAGCGATGAACCTGCAAGGACATTGTTGGTTTCTTTATTGAATCACTTATGGTCATATGCCCACAATTATACAATTTTCACACAACTGCGCCAGGAGTGTCATTTTTGACAGACATGGCACATTATAAATGTTCGCTATTATTATTATGATTATTATGGAGTCATTGAGACATGCAGGATATTCAACAGAGATTCTCAAATGCATCTGCAAGGACACTGATGATACTGTAGAGAGTAGTTTTTGAATTATGGATAAGTCCAGGAAAGATATTCTCAAACATAGCACGGAGATATCAAAATGATATGTATTCCTTCATAAACAAAACATGACTGAGGAACCCTTTCATTACCTACAAACAGAAACAGTGATATTGATGGAAGTCCCTGGGTATTGAATTATCGGGCTGGATGCATCAGAGAAGTGGCCCCATAAGGCCACGAAAAAGGCTCCATTTCTGTCTTTCCTGTGGTACTAGAATGGTATACCCCAAAAAATCCTTCAACCTAAAAAGGAGCTGCTTTTTTTGTAAAATTGTACGTGCCTGCCCTAGGGTCTTTCTTAGATTTTCTTGGCGTATCCCTTAGCAGCCTCCATCTATGTCTCTTCATTAGATTAATTCATTTCATCCATATATACCAACATGAAATAAAATCGGACATAAAGCGGTGACCTTGTATGATGCTAGACAAATAAATTAATTACAAAAATGAAAATGATGTTGGACATATTAATTAATTACATGATTACAATAACGTAAATCTTTCGTTATGGCCATCGACAATTTTTTTGGTTTTGTTTCTGGCATCATTGAATAATGACCACACAACAACATTTCATCAAGAGCATTCTATTAAAATATTATTTTCTACATATAAAAACTGAAACAGGGATACCACTTGGTTTAACCCATTTAGCCTGCAAAATGATCATCAAATATTGGATCGGAGAATAGCGTCGAAAAGAGACATAACTTAGGCTTTTTTCGGCTTGCACTCATCAGAGTAAAACGCAAGAATGAAACAGAAAGCTGAAATAGATCAATATAAACGGAAACTAAAAGTTTATATTGATCAATTTCGGCTTTCTGTTTCATTCTTGCATTTAACTCTGATGAGTGCAAGTCGAAAAGCTCAAGTTATGTCTCTTTTCAATGCTATTCTCCGATTTTGTAGTACCAACCATCTTTTCAAATATTGGATCCCCATATATTCTGTAAAATACAAAGTTTTAAAAAAATGGCCAGAATGAAATGTGCAGAAAGAGTTTTGACTTTAGATATAGATCTATGAGCACAAGGTCTTACCTGATCCGGTTTGAGCCCAGGTGGTATCCATGTGTACTCCTCCAAGACACACCCACTATCATCATCAGATGCAGAGCTTCTCTGGAAGTCCGTCATCATCCGGTTGACATTTTTCTCTTGGTCCACCGCCATCACGATGTGGTCCTCCCGTGGACACTTACAGTGCAAACAAATCTTCCTGTAAACAAGAAAATAAGAGAGAGAGAAAGAGATACAATATTAATATTAGTTAAGAAAGCAAACATTTTTAGTGAAAAGCTGCGAACAGATAAAAGGCAACTTGGAGACATCAGTATATGAACCATGTGTTTTCATAAAAAGCAGAGTAAGAGAATATTCCTTCAAAGAGGCAAATATTATATAATCAATATGGTTATCATAAAATCGAATTATACATCCCCTTTGAAGAACATTGCCAAGAATTTTGCAAGTAAACCGAGCACTATGAATATAAAAAAAACACAATGATAGGTTTTCTGTGGAGAGCACTCAAAATGCGACTGACTCATGAAGAACAAAAGAGAGCAATATGATATTCTCCTGAGGCTAAACATGAAGATTGTGTGGGCAGAAGTCAAAATGGAAATGTCTTGATTTCAAGTTGTTGATGACATTTTTACAAGGTAAAAATTCTGATTGCAGAGGAAGCAAAAACAAACAGACAAATCATACTTTGAAGTGGACACATTTGCGACTCATGGAGTGTGAGAGTATATAGTAGAAATGAGGAGGCATTGAAATGGAATGAAAACACAAAACATGATTTGAAGATGAAGAAATTCCATTATTGTATCAATTCCAGCCAAACTATTCCATCATAATTCCGATCGACCACAAAATGAACAAAATGAAATCGTCACCACAAAGAGAGAGGGTAATGTTTGCATCATAGCATCGCCCATCAGGCGCAGGACGTCAAGACGTAGGATAAAACTCAATTTGAGATTGTCGGGGAAGAGAAAATGAGCAGTCCTATCTCATTTGGAAAGCTATTACTCTGAAACAGGTCTAATGCCGGGCTATCAAGAAGACAATCAAAAGGGACTTGGGAGAGGCGAGAAGGAGGGGTGTGGGCTAGACTGATGGGGATTTAGAGCAGGGATATAGGAAAGGGTATGGCTCAATTTATGGGCAAAGGGATAGCTAAATTGAATGCATCAGAGGCACCATGTTTGGAGCCTTGCGCAGCCATGAAGCACATAGAACATTGTCTCGTAGTCATAAAAATGCAATTTATCCTTCTTCTTCCAGTCAACACGTCATCTCTACATTAACATTAGAGACATAGGAGAGGGAATAAACAACCTATACTGCTACCAGCTCCCTTGTAGCATGCAATACAATATGGGGTAAAATGTATGAGGCTATGTGGCAAAAACATGTATAGACCAAGTTCACTACATAACACATAGAATCAGTTACAGAGTTTTCTTGACTATGCATTTTGAGAACTATGTTCAGCAAAATAAGCCGTATCATCTCTCTCATTTATTCATGGAAAACTAGGGTAGCCCCTAAACCATGCTGAACTTTAGAGAAACATGAGACAAATTTGGAAACTCTATTCTCAACACAATGCAAGAATGTTGCAACACTCAATCTTTTTGGAAACTACATGCATGCACAAAGTTGGGTCACTGTCTCCAAGCTTCTGCCACTGTGTTCTTTCACAATATCCATTTCTTTTTCAACTTCATCCATAGATCAATATCAAAGAGCAACTCTGGGTAAATCATTTTTCAAAGTTATCTATGAAGTAACCAAGCTTTCGTCACAAGCTAGCACAAACTCAATATTACCAAAGTATACACAAAGCTAGCCTCCTCCCCCAAACCAACACTCTTACAGCGGTGGTAACCTATACCTCCAGTACCCCTAGGGTGTGATATCTAGACAACGGGAGGAAGCCATGGGAGACAGAAAGATGCTCCTGGATGATAGCTGATCAATCGATGCTCGTCTGCCAAGCAAACAGAGAGGGAATGCTGGGAGATCTATGCAGAGAGGATGCTGGGAGATAGATGAATTACCAAATAGCAAAGTGCCCCTCCTCTGTCCTCCCATCCTCCAAGGGGTTTGTAGAGGACCCCTGTTTAGTAGATTGGAAACGTAATAGGATGATGTATCGATGGCCATACAGCTGGGGAAGGTGATCAAGCACTGATATGGGATGGATCCAAAACACCGGAGATGACGGGTGAAGGAAGACCTGCTTCGATGCTAGGTTCTTCAAATGAAAAAGGAAGACTCCTCAACCTTGGAAGACGTGTAAATATGTACAAGTACAAGCCCAAGGCAGAGATAATTACTTTGTCTTTAACCTTCGTCTTCTATGCAAACAAAGATCCTGCATGCAGTATGTTTTTCAATTACGTTGAGTAAGAACTGAGAGCGATACATTAACTCTGAGAACATTATACTTTTTCTTCACAAGTTCAGATAAATTATTACTTCTGGTATTTTCAACTACCGGGTAGTCATTTACGCAAAATTGGAAGAAAGAAAAAGATGTCTGATTTATGAAAATAATTCTTAAAGCATATACCAGCATGTATTGTATGACATACACTGTAGCATTCTTATACTTGAGTGATTAAACCTTCATCTTATTCCGGTCACGTTAATTGCACAGAATAAGTAGATCTTCGTCTGAGTATTCAATGGCATTCCATTACATTGAAGAGTTGAAGGGGGTAGTTAAAGAAAGACAAGATGAACGATCCTTATCCTAAAGTGATATCCATCTCAAGTTAACCACATCAGGTCACGATCTAATTATTTCACTAATGAAAAGACATCATTAAAGAGAGATGTTCGTCCTGCCATTCAATAACTCATTGGTTTATCAGGATCCATCTATGTCTCTAGCTTCCTGACTCTTAGATTCGGTCCACTGATGAGGCTAATGGGAGAAATAGCCTTCATCAATCCTTGATAAATGTCAAGGAGAATACAATTACATTTGTCTTCTGCTATCAAGGAAGGGGTGGTACAAGAACTTGTTCACGAAATAAGGCTACTAAAATCAGTTTATAATGACTATGAAGGAGCGGGCAGAACAAACAAAAACCATGTCTTCATTAAACAGACATACCATTAATGTAAATTGGACTTCATTGTGCAAAACCAAGAATTCATCCATTTTATATTGTTTTCTGGTGTGTGTTTTTGGAAGGGGGGGGGGGTTCAGGTTTTTTTAAAGGGAGGGTAGGTAAATATTTTGAAGTGGAACAAAAGTGTCTAATTAGAACTGCACGGTTGGAAAGTACAAATATCTGTCAAGCATAACAAAACTTGCAAAATTGCCAAACAAAGCTCAAATAGAGTGTTCAATTCCTAGTTTGTACGTTTTACATACAAACAAAATATAGCAAAATAGCCCATGAGGACAGAAGGCATTATAGTTCAAAACAGAATAATTATGCTCCATGTTGGTCGAAATATACACCAACCAGTAGGTCTTGCCCAAAAATAAACTTGTGTTTTCAGTATACTCCCAATTGTTTTCTGCAGGCAGGCAGGAGTTCATTTTGAACAAAGTGACTCACACAGTAACTGCACATGCATGACTTGAATAGCAAATACTTCTAAAGGCTCAAAGGGGTCACATAATACCCATGGTCCCACCTCATTGACTTTCATGCTGGCTTTTAGTTATTAATATTTGCGCCCTTGGCATTTCCCCCATTGGGAGTAACAAATTGGACCCACAATGTATGTCTTCATGTTATAATTCTCATTACTATGTATAAGGCAGTCTGCGTGAGGCATACAAAACTCAAAAGAGGTTCTCCTGATAAAATCTCATGTAAAATATATAAGTGCGGTCTAGGGTTGAAGGCTGAATCAAAAATTTTGAATACTGTAGTGCTGCAGGTTTTTCCCTTTTTACCTATCCAATATGTCAATGTTCATGCCTCAGCTCACAAACCTCACTTCAAATGATTCTTTTTTTTGTGCAAATATTTTGATACTTTCACTACTTTACTTTGTGTCTCTATTTTGCTAATCTGCAAAACTAGGGAGAAATGTGTACTTGTACTTGTATATCCTTATCCAATACATGTAAAGAATGTATGTAACATAGAATAGATGCAACTAAAGTGCTGTGATCGTACTCTTGCAGAAAGCATGAGCTACAAACTTGGACGTCCACGGAAACAAACATCCAGACATATGGAAAGCGACTCACCTGGGAATTGAACTGATTAAGCAATTTATTCCAATAATATGGCTAATCAGATAATTGCAGTGCTGACATTCTCAACACAAAGGAGTCTGCTGGCTGCCTGAGCAGTGTGTTGAACTCCGCCTTACCAGTGTATTACTATCAGCAGAAGACAGGTCAATCATCAGGGCACAGCTAGACATGGGTATCTGGAGGTCCCTAGGTGGAGGTTCAATGGACCAACCCCTGCATGCCTCTGCTAATGCTTTGGATAATACCTCGACATCCAAATCATCCCTTCCACAAAGTTCACTTCTGGGATGAGCATGCACAAACAGTAGAGATACATGTATATACCCCACAGGTACTTTTCTCACAAGCAATCCATGAAGGCGATGGACTGCATAACTTGTTATTTTAAACTAGGAATCTCTAAAGAATTTTTTTTATATAGTTTGCACACAGACAATTTCAGAAAAAAGAGAGGAATTTAGGTTTCAAAAAAATAGTTTGAACATGAAAAAATAGGAATCCTTCCTCCAAAATAGGAATGGTTGGCACTTGGCAGCTATTTATCCTACAATAATGCCTGCATGCATAATTTACATTCTAATATCATTTGGATGGGATGTCTACTTGAACAGTACACCCACATGCATAAATAGACGTGTATTACAGTACAGACTGAAATATTTATTTTCCTATCTGTCAGGTGACAACCACACAATTGGTGCAAATTTTGAGCTTAAAAAGTGCATCCCACCTCTGGCCCTCGAAGGCACGATCTATTTCCCCTCGTGACAAATGTTTATGTGTACATACAAAGCAGATTCTTCCCCTCAATCCCTCCTGGGCTCAACTAAGAATCAATTTCAATCAACTCGGGGTATTTCGAGCTCTAAAAATTCCCTTTTTTCCAAGTCAATCTGCCCTCCACTCCCCACTATAAAGGCTCCATTTATTGTAAGGCTCTTTTGTATTTTGTGGAAGGGTGCCCAAAAAAGATCTTA